GCTCGGTGCACACGGGTCCCCGCACTCGATATTTGGGTATATACTATATACATATATACTCCTATTCCTATTTGGTGAAAACAAACACGAACTTCGGATTCCCATTCCCAGTCCCATTGCCATCTCCATTTCGATTCCGATTCGAATGCAGAACTTGGGGGCAGATGTCGGCCATAACTTAGATTGCGTGGGCCGACTTGAAACGATGACGTATTAAAACGCCATTCGGGGAAGCACCCCCGTCCCCGTTCGCCCTCTCCTGTTGTAATCCCCACCACTCCATTTTCCCCCCGCAAAACGAGAACGTGACACTTAAATTCGTATAAAAAGCATCGATCGATCGATGCGGGTTCTATATTTACCTAGGCGTGCGCATAACTCATGCTTATCCCCCTCGGATGGAAATTTCAATATAATACCCGTAGCAGTTCTCATGTGTGCACTGAGAGAAAGAAATTAGCTCTAAACATAATATATTGAAAGTATTTTTATATTAATCCGACAGGAGGGCAAACCTAAACACTACCTCTTAGGTATCTTCATCTTTTCTTATAAATCGAATTAAATATTCCTCGTTTTTTCTGTGTGTACCCCCTCGCATATTGAGGTGTGGTCCTGAGTAGGGGTCCTGAGAAATTGATTGTCGCTCGCTCCCCGAAGCGCTGTGGCACCGCAGACCACAGAAACGGAGACCCGCTTATTAGTGTTTCCAATCTTGCACTTCCTTTGGAATTCTCTTGTGCCTTCTTCTGCTTTTTCGTGGCTGACAAAGTTGATTAATGGCTCACACACACACAGTCGCACTCGCAGTTGGCCCTTTGTTAATGGCTGCTCGGGCAAAGTAATTCGAGAAAATGGTGTCTGATGGCGAGATGCTGCTGCCATGCCGATCCCAGAGGAAAGTCTTTTGTCACCGACAGGTTTTATTTCCCCTATTGTTTGCCTCCTTTTCTGAAGTTTTCTCCCTTCAGAGGCACTATACGTATATGGACGAAGCTCCTCCGGCAAGGAAACTCCAATTACCTGAATTGCTTCATTAGGAGAGAGAACGAGGAGCGGAAGGATTCCCACAAAAGCCAACAACTGGAATAACGAGTTCTTCGAGGGGAGGATTTTTAAAAACACAAAAGGCCTAGGATTTTCTTTATTCAAAGGAAAATTTCTTTATGAAACTGGGATCATAAATAAAACCTCGAAATTGAAACAATACTGCCAGGAATGTAACTTTTCATATAAGTCAATTCATTGTTAGAAACTTACTGAAAGACTTATAGTAAAATCAGACAGAAACTATGATTTAACTGTCACTATTTCTTTAATAAGGTGCCATTACCTCATTTCCCAACGGTTATGGCGCATCAAAGAGAACCAAGTGCATCGTAAACACTCTAATCGCGGTGATTAATCAGAAGATGTAATAAATTTAGTCCAAGAATCGCACACAAAAGAGTGCATTAGCCGACGCCGCGAGCGACTTGTTTAATTCCGCGATTAAATTAATATTAAGTACTCTCTGTCTTCGAATTTATTACAACCGGAAAGTCGGGGGGAAAATGGTCGCAGTCACGCATTGCACGCGATGCGGAAAATGGAAAACCTGCGAAATTGTCGCACGCCAGAGCCAAGTTCTAAATAAAACTTTTGTGTAAATTAAATATTAAAGCTAATAGAAATGTGTAAAGTTTGCCTACTGATGGCTTTGTTTGTTTTCTCATATGTGCACTGCGAGAAACTCAAGTCAAAGAACTGATGAAATAAATAGATTAAAATCAATTTCTATTCATAAATCTTTTATGGCTATAGTTAATGACTTGTTTCTTGGAATTTTTATATTAAAAATTGTCATTTATATGTATAATAAATATAATCAAAAGAAACTAGATTTTGTTTGACTTTTGAACCCATTTTTTTGGGGCGTGTGAGAGGGGAATAAACTTTGATTAAATGAGCGGGGAGAGTCAGTCGGTCGGTCGGTGGGAATCGAGTCGGCAATTGTCTGTGGAACGTGTGCGCTTTTAATTTGATTTTGTCTGCGCCAAATTTACATGTCTGTCGGCCCATTCCCAGTGCCCAAAATGCGCGCCAGTCTGGCTGCCATTCCGGTCCTTGTCTGCGGATGTCGCCCACTCCGAGAACAAAACCCTTTCCCCCGTGCATCCTGATCCTGGTAATCCAAACCCCTTTGCCAATTTGCACCACTCGGGCATTAAAACCGCAGATTAACAGCCGCACGGGGTAGTTTAAAAAAAAACTCGGAGAACGTGTCATTTCGAATTTTCCGCCGCCGCAAAACGAAAAAAATAATACAACGACACGAAACGTGCCGATAACACGGTGTCGTACTGGAGCGAGATAGGAATATGAATGGAGGACCAGAGCGCGAGGGAGCAGCAAATGTAAATACCAAATATAAAAAGAGGAAAACAGAGACCGAAAGAAAACACAGGGAATCGGAAATTAAACAAAACCGAAACGAAATGGAATTCGCTTATCGCGCCTCATAAATTAACCCTTGCCAGCCGTCGTCCATGTTCCGAGAGATGCGAGAAGGAGCGACAGGCGGCGGGGCAGACCAGATCTCCCCCAGCGGGGTCAACGTTTATCGACGAAATGGCGGATCTTCGCGCCCCCGAAACCCCTGCCAATGACATTGATCGCTGCCGCAGAGAAAATATTGAAAATATTGAAAATATAATTGAAACATTGATATTGATTCTGATTCCAGCAGAAGCAAAGTTCAAGCCAGGGTTCAAAGAGAGAGAGATAGGCGGTCGCTCTGAAACAGAGACAGAGATAGAAAGACAGTCAATAATTCAATTCCCCGGCAAGCGAGACTATCGCCAGTCGCAATTATGGCTTGTAAAATTAATAAAAATAATATATTTTATTATTCCATTCGTGCGGTTATCGCTGTGCGGGGAATGCGAATAAATCATAGTGTCTGTGTCGACGTTGGAGAGAATTAAGCGGTTTGTTTTAGAAAATCACTGAAACACCAGCTATAGAGGCTACAAATATTTCAATTAAATGCTTCCATATTTTGTCAAAACTATTAATCCAAACTTGACACGCAACTATGAGTGTTTAACAATTAAAACTTGAGGAGACTATTAAATACATTTCAATTAAGATGTAAATTATTTTACAATAATTATAAAGACACTTGGCATCTGTAGATATTTTTCTTCTCTCTTCAGAAACCTTAATTTCCCAAGTTAGCTAGCCCCTAAACTAATTGTAATTATAAACCTTAAGCAAAAAACCACCAGCCGCAAATCTATGCAGAATGGCAAACTGAGACTCGGTGAGTTAATTACTTGTCAAACAGCGGCTGTTAGTGCTGTAAATTGCCCGAATGACTCCGCTCAACGCCAACGCCAGTGATTTATTTTCAAAACAAACACCAGAGGATCGCCAGTGGCAGTTGCCCAAGGGAGATATGGGGGCCTGGGGACTTTAACCAGCTCCAATATCAAACGATCTGTGACGCCCAAAGCCGAGCCATGGCACGTACTTCTGCTCCGATTTCAGCCCTGTTCCAGAGACTAAAGACCAGGGAGGCCAAGGGACCCAAAGACCGACCACAAAACCAGACTGCTTGGACACTGTCCGCAATTTGTTCGCCCATGTTTTCGAGAGCAATTAAACGGCTCGCAATTACATGCCACACCAAAAACAAAGGAAAAGGACAGAAAGAGAGAGAGAGAGAGACAGAGGGGAAGTGTTTAATGTCATTGCGGGGCCACAGTGCGTATGCGCAATGCGCACTAATATGGTTGAATTCATTTGCTAATCGATACGTCCTTTAAAAAGCCATTAGCAGGCTTCTTTTATGTTTAAAGTTGAGAGTAATAAATGCAAATTTAAAATAAAAATAAATATAAAATTGCAATATTACATGTTTATATTTATTCTATTTAGTAGCGCAGTCAAAAACATATACTTATTCGATTCAATAAATTACAATACCAAACATTAACCAATTAATAAACCCATTTTACTTCCCGATTGTTAATCGATTACGTGCCCTACTCAAAGACCCAACTAATTCGAAAAACTACAAAGTGAGCAGCCATTAAGTCGAGTGAAATGTGAATGGGAATCTAGATGGGAATCTAGATGGGAATGTGAATGCGACTGTGAATGCCGATTAATGACCGCCCATTGTAAGCCGCAATTGACAGTGGCTACCCGTGTTTCCAACTAATTAAATGGAACATATAGGCTATGGCTATGACTATATGACGGTGATTCGCCAAACAATCAACGCCATTATCGCGCCCATAAAACGGGGGATCGGTAGTCCACAAAATAACATCACGATCGTTATGCACGGCGCAAGACCATGCGTAAAATCGTAAATAGATCATAAAACGCCCATAAAAAGCCATTTAACGAGGCCCACAAGAACGCAGATCGACGTCCGCACAAATCGATCAATCGAGTGAGTGTTTCTCCCCTGTCACCAGGCGAGATGTACTCCAAGGTATTTGCTATGGACAGCAGCGGTTTGTATTTTGGGGGGCCCTGACGATAGCAAATACTGATTTACGATCCCGGGCGAATACTTGACATGAATTTCGGCTGCAACTTTCACGCAGCCGAGGGATATTAGCATGGAGAGGCGAACAGTTGCCGGCTGCGATGTCTAAACCTTTTCATAAACTCGTATTTGCCGGCAAATGACTCCGATAAACAATGCAATTGTGCATTGAATAAGGCAGGGACAGAAACAAAGGTTGAGGGATTTATGACAGGACAGCAGGAGCTATGTGACGAATGCATTTCGCCGAGAAGGGTTCACCGAGGTGAAAGTAGCAGAGAAAGAAATACGCCCGCAGCAGGTAAATCATATTTCTCAAGGCCATTCGGCCAGGCTCTAAAAAAAAAAAAAACCATCATATTCCACGGATTACCCGCAATCCTGGGCCCATAACCCATTGGTTCAATGCCAGTCGGGGAATTAACTTCAAGGGTTTCCGGTTAATTGCGGTACTTACCGTTGAAATCGCCGCAAACGACTCGCTCGAAGGGACTTCCCATCCAGTCTGAAATTAAAGAGAGAGAAAAAAGAGGAAAGCAATTAGCTTATGGGTTTTCTTTGATATTTTTTTACTACAAAACTAAGGAGTTATGTGTGCTCCCCATGTGCTGTTAATGCGAAATTCTTCGCCAAACAGCCTTGAGACCCAGCGAGACCCGCGACGATCCCTCAAATCATGTCCACTGCCCCCCTGGCACTTCCCAGAGGTTCCACATGGCAGCCTTCATAAACCACTCAATCGAGCCGTTTTCAATTTAGTTGTCAGCGCCGGCCACAAAAAGCAGAATTAGCCGGGCCACCGGACCACCGGCCGAGTGAACCTCCTCTGGCCAGTTGAACCGGCTCCGCTTTAAGTAGACCACGCGAGATGGCGGAGATGGGGAAGGAGATATCTATATGCTGGGGACTCTCAGTGAGTAAGGAGAAGTGTAGCAGCATCTGGGGGAGATGACCGAGGAGCAACGACCAGAGACGTCGGCTCCTCCTAATTAATAAGCAGATGAAGCTGCTCGGCATCGTTGGCGCATTTTTAATTAAAATACACAAATTTCTGTGCATTTGCCTTGTCGCTGTTGCCACTTTATTTGACACACGAACGGACAGACAGACGGACGGACAGACGGGCAATCTCTAATATGTACAAGATTCTGCAGGCCGAGACTTCTTTGTCGCTTCGATGATTGCACAATTTATGGACCAGACGCTTCTTATCTGGCCAAGGCAGTGTTCTGTCTACACATGGAAAATAATCGTAGATGTACGAAAATATAATAATAAATAAACTTGCATTCGAAGAGTTTTAAATGGAAAAGTGATGCAACTCCTAAAATATCAATGTATTTCTACTGATTTTCTCCCTGTGTACTCCTTCACCCCCTTTTCTTGGCCATTTTCTTCGTCTTGCCACCGCACGTGCTGAGTTTGCGAATATCCCAAGACGGGAAAAGCTTTTGCCATTTTCATGCTTTGTCGGGCTGCGCTTTTCCAGATAATTAAGAAAAGTTAACCTCTTTGCTTTCTTATCAGCATAATCAGGTGCAGGCGCGCCTTTCCTCCCGTTATCCCCGTTATCCCAGTTTTCTGCTGGCTTTTCCACGCCCCAGCCCGGCGGCAACATGCAACATTGTTGTTGATGTTGCTGCTGGCGCAGTCGGTGCAACGATGTGAAAATGAAAATTCATTCAGACGCTTTGGCGTAAAATATTAAAATTCATTAGTTAAATTGCATTTGGCAAGCATTCAGCTGTAAAACGTTGCTGCAGCAGCGGCAACAACAACCATTGCCGTGGCAGTTGTTCGTGTGTCCGGGTCTGTGTATGTTTTTTTTTTTTTTTTGGGTGGGTTCGCAGGCTTGGCCAAGTGAAAGCCAAGCGCTCAGACTTTTTGCAAGAGGGATTCTCACATACATACATATGTATATATGTATATGTGCAGTTTATGTGCAACTTTATGTACAGTATCCGGATTTTTGGGGGGAACGAGGAGGAGAACCCGCTGCGTCGACGTGTCGCGCACTTGGCTGCCATAATGGCGTCATGCTCGTATTTACTTTCATCGCCGCCAGTCGCGTCGTCTATGATCTCGTTGACAATTTTATCGCTGTGGCGCTGTGAGCGGGAGATATGCAAAATATTTCATTGTGCGAAATACCGTTTATCTTCCCGGCCCGGGCTTCTTACTATTACCAACAGGTTTTGGCCAGCAAATCGCGTCTATCTGTGTGTATTGGCCAAATGGGCGTGTTGAATACCTTTATTAATGCATGTGTTTTCATAATTTCATCGGGCTAAAATAGTGGAATTGATATTTAATCTGCATAGATTAATCGGAGCGCTGGTTATCGATTTGCTGACACCCAGATCTAGCTGAAAATGATAATTTCCAAAGGCTCGGCATGTGGTTTAGTTCTTTTATTTATTTATATATTTACTTTGTGAACTTTGTAAGTTTTTGACTCTGTTTTTAGAGCTTTTAAAAAATGATCCTCATAAAATTACCACCTTGTTTTCGTTTATTATTTTGAAATCTGTCTGCAGGCCCATCGATGGATAATTACTCATACGAGTTAATGCACATGCCTGGGCCATAAATTCAAGTGAAATCCCCCGGGTTCTCGAGTAAATACATCTCTCGATCTCTGCTCTATTCCGCCGACCGATGTGCAGTCTATAACTCTGGCCAATTGACAGTCTATTCATATGCCGTCCGCCATTAATCAGGAGGCGTTCAACCCGCGGTCGGGTGGCGGAAAACCGAATTCTCTCAATTTCTTGTGCACTGTGGAAATGGCAAATAAATCTGCCCGGCAGAAATGCGCGAAAAAAAGAGCGAACGGATCGCGTAAATTAAACTGACCCACATAAATTTGGAGGCGAGTTCGCTCGTACTACGTTAGCCGCATAAAAAGATACACTTTTCGCCGTTGTATCTGTGCCTGTATCTCTAGCCGTGGCTGTATCTCTCGGCGAGTATCTGTATCTGGATTTCGTATGCGCGGAGCACACATCCCAGGCTTTTTTTCTGTGTTTCTGTGCGCGGGGCAACCTTGAGGCTATTTAAATTACAAATCGACGACAGACAGACAAGCGAAGCATTTTTCAAACTATTTTCATTTTTATTTACTGCCAACTTTTTAGCTCTTCGTTCATTTCGTTTTTGGATACGTTTGGTATTCGGATTTGGACTCGAATCGCTCTGGAAGACTGATGCGAAATAAACGACTTGGAAGTGCCCCAAAGTGTTCATTATGAATTGGAATTGGCGGTAAAATGGCGCGGGAAATGGGAATGCCATTGGAAAATGTTTGCCCCACGTATATCTATTGTTTATAGGAGCTGTGAGGGTATTAACTAACAATTTAGAACACTGCACGTGGAAAAACAAGATCGGAAAACTGGGAATAACACATTCTTAATGTAGAAAGAAAGGAACAGATTCGATAAATAATTATAATATAATTATATAAGTTAAACGCTAATCTACATTTATCTTATCGTATTAAAAAAAAAATACATTCTTATAGCCTCTTTAGATTTTGTTTATCTCTGTGTATAATACAATGATTTATATGTACACAAAACGCTTTAAGATCGATTCATAGATCGTAAAAAGGAAATTGATTTAAGGTGAAATGTACATGTTTATTATCTGTGGAGTATATAGTTTCTTTCAAGCTTTTTAGAATGTGTTTTTCCGCTGTGTAATTGGTTTGATTTATATCAAAAATGTTTAGTAATCGGTTCTTCATTTAAGATGCCTTGTTTCCTCGTAAATAATTTAGGAGATCTGTAAATTGTTGATTTTCCCTAATACCAAGTGTGAGTTTCCACTGATCTGACATTCACTTTAAAAATTTGTTTGATAGAAGCAATTTTTCCACCCTTATATTTATATATAAATGTAAAGCTTGACTCACCTGTGAGCGTCATCCAGGGATACCTTGGCAGATCGGCAATGCCGGCTCCGCCCGCTCCACCTGCGCCGGGCATCACCCCGGAGGCTGGCTGGGTGCAGGCATTGCCCAGAGAGTCCACGCCGATCGCTCCGGCACTGGCCGCGGATACCGCCGATGCGGCGGCTGTGGCGTGCTGATAGAACTGGGCGAACTGCGCGGAGGCCGAGGCAGGTACGCTCATCGACTGGTAGCTGTTCATCACGGTGTCCGTGTACCTGCTGTGGAAGAGAGATGGAGATTCGATTAGCCTCGGGAACATGTGTGTGATCCCTGCTCTCCTCACTCTGACTCCTGATTCCTGACTCTCCCACTCCCTTCCAGAAGTCACATGCTAATGAGCCGCTGTGCCCTGACCATTTGCATGCCCCCTTCTGCGGTCGCCTCTAATTGCCCACTAATCCCGAACACGCCCACGCACAGCAGGACTCACTGTAGCCAGCGTACAGTGGACTAATATGCAAATGGCCGCAGCGGAAGGTCAGACTGCGTGCGAATCTTGTGGGCACCGCAGGCTGCTCTAATTTGCCGGCTTTATGGCCATTCGATATGAATGGCCAGTGGTCAGGGACCTGAAGGCCTGGACCCTGGAAGCAGGATCCTGCCCATAATTAGAGCGCATTCGAAACGGATTTGTGGCTTGCGGTTTATGGAGATTTAAACTCAAGGTTTCGACAGGCATTTCCGCTTGCCCAATCGAGAGCAAGCGAAATGAATTCTCGGAAAGATGATTTTAAGTTTGTTTATAAAGAGGAAGCTGTCTTTATTACAAGTTTGAAAATGGGAAAGTTGAGCAGGCCAGGGAATCGACATGTTAGTTGTCATAGTTTTTAAAATAAATACTAACTGAGGTTGCCCCAAATCGATATAATACTCCCTTCTGTTTCATTAGAGTTGCAGGTTGCAGTTGAATTTTACATAAAAGGATAAAGGGATCAAAGATAAAAGTTTGCATTAATATGAATTTTAGGAAATCAAAAGTTTAAGCATTATTTAATAATAATTAATATTCATAGTCTTTTGGCAGAAATTAAAAACGAATTAGAGAATTTAATATGAAAATAATTAAATGACTTTAGCTATTAAAAACCTTAAATTGATATTTAATTTTAAAACAATTTTGATTGTTTTTTGAATTAAGAATTTTAAATATTTACTTTAAGAGTTAATCATTCCGTAAAAACTATTAGAAGGACTTTAAAGATTTTCTGGTTTTAATTTAACAGGAGATTTAATAGATTTGTTTCTTTGTCCCCAAGCATTTTCGACTCTTTGAGCCCCAACTCACCTGCACGACTTATCTTCCAGTCCAGAGAACCCGGCCATTCCGGAGAGTCCTCCGTGGCTGCTCGGGTGATTCGACACGTACGGATACATCTTGCTGGTGGGGATGGCAAACGAGGAGCTGGCCGCGGCGGCGGCGGCTGCAGCTGCGGCTGCTGCGGCAACAGATGCGGATGCCGCTGATGCGGATGCGGCGGAATGCGACGCGGACACGGATGCCGCCGATGCGGAGGCCCCGGATCCCGGCGAGTTGTCGTTGAGGCTGCGGTGCAGCGAGGAGCTGCCAGAGGCCGACGGCGATGGGGAGCAGCTGCTGTCGCCCGCCGAGGGAGGCGTTAGCAACAGTTGCTGATGGGCGTGGCCGTGCGAGGCGGCAGCGGCTGCGGCGAGCTTGTTGATGTGGTGCTGCTGCTGCTGCAACTGGAGGGCAGCGGACAGCGAGGAGTACTGGTGGTTCTGCTGGTGGTGCACCTGTGCCTGCTGCGCCTGCTGCGCCTGCTGCTGCTGGTGCTGTAGATGCTGCACCTGCTGCTGGTGCTGTTGGAACGGCGACGAGGAGGAGACCGGCGAGTGGGGCGACTGGTGGCCCAGGTGCTGACTAAGCTGGCTGGGCGATAGTGATCCGCCGGAACCGCTCAGGTTGACGTTGTTGTGGTTGCTGCTGCTGCTGGGGCTGCCGCTGCTGTGGTTGGTGTTGCTGCTGGCGCTGGTGTTGTTGCTGTGGCTCACGGCAGAGGCGGCGGCGGCTAGAGCGGCGGCTACTGCTGCAGATGACGAAGTCGGGGGGGTGGTGGTTAGGTGGTGCGAACTGATAAACGGCTGGAACTGTGGATACTTTGGCAGCATACTATCGAAAACAAATTTTGACATTGCACATAGTTTTCTGCTCTCTGGCCGAGGATCGAATCTTCGGATGGCTTTCTTTGTTATTTTCACTCAAGTTCTTTTCGTTGTTTCAACTTCGGTATGATTGGCTATGTTTTTGGGATTGAATATTTCGGTTTAAGACATTTTAAGCGTTCTTTAACAAATTTTGTGCGAATTCAGCGAAGGGAAAAGGAGCCAAAAGTTGGTCCTAAATGAGTTCTGAAGGTGTTTTGATTTTGTAACCCTTTGGGAGTTAAAAAATTTTGATGACAATGCCAACGGAATTATATTATAATTTTCCTGACAATATAAAAGGCATTTTAGATATTTTTTCAAAAGGGTTTTACCTATTATTTAAATATTTTATGTTTCTGAAGATACCAATTCGTGATTAATTAACTAGAAGATACTATCTGCCGAAAAGTTATAATATGTATCATATATATTTATGCCAAATCGTTTAAATTTAAACCTACACCTACTCAAAAACAAAAAACTATAAACTATAATGACATAAAATCTGATGATCTCTTTGCCCTTTCAGTATCTCGATTATCTAAATGACTTTATAATCCATAAGAAACCTAATTAGAAAGGACCATATCTGCCCGATCAAATTAAAGTTTAGTGGCAACCAACAGTCTAAAATTGATGTTCTAAACTCCCGTCTTGATTTGACTTTACTGCCTTAATAACCCAATGGAAACTACAATGAAATCACTATATAAATCACCGCAAATTGATCAAATTAAAATGTACTAAAAGCTAAAATAAACTTTGCCTCTCATAAAAGTGTTGCTCAAAATGTGATAAACAAAAAGAAACAAGGGAAGATGGAAAATATATACTGCTTATAAAAATTGCTCGGAAAGCATAAAAACGAACATTAGCCAAATTGAATATGTTTAGACTGAACATAAATCTTGCGGATGGCGAGAAGCAGAACTCAAGTGGAAAATATATAAAATCCTCGATCTGCGTATACTTTTCTTTCAGCTTTCAGAGTTTTCCCAGCACAATGCCAAAGGGGTTAGTACGGGTTAAGTTTCCCCGGTTAAGTTTAATCTAAGATTGCAAGTAGTTAGTAACTTTTAGGGATAGACATTACGTTGAAGAGAGATACGAGATAGAGATTGGAAACTTTGCCCGATTTTAAGCTACTTTCTCGTTTCGGAGAATTGGGAAATTGCATTTCGTTACCTTTCTCGGGTTTTCTCTAGCGAACTTTTGGCGAGCAGCTTTTCAGCTTTTCCGTTTTCTTTTTTCGCTCGAAACTGGCGAATTCACAACGAAATTTGTTAAATTTGCATATGGTCTCGGGTTACAGCCGAGTGTTGTTGTGCCAGCTGCTGCTGTGTGTGAGCCGTGTGTGTGTGTGGTGTGGGCCAGCTTTATTTGTTGTGAAAGCAATTAAAAGGCGGCCATCAATTACGCGGAATTTTGAATGGTCCAAGTGCCGGCGGGATTTCGTACGTGTGATTTATAGGCGCGCGATCTGTTTTTTAATGGCACTCTTATGTTTTTATGGTTTTTTTTTAGGACCTATCGAGTGTGCGAGTCTGTGAGTGTAGCGTGTGTGCGCCTGTGGAGAAAGGCTTTCTTCGTTTCGGTTTAATTACTTTGTTTAAAATGCCATATCGAACTCAAACTCGAACTCGAACTCTGCGGCCCTTTTACGATGTCAACTTTATGGCTTTTTAATTATTATGCACCGCACACTGAGAGGTATAAAACGCAATGTTTTGACAGTTTTTCGGTTTTCCGATTTTTCACTTGGTTTTCCGTATCGCTGCTTGTGCGGTACCGCGTTTTATGCGCTCTATAACTGTTAAGTGACAATAAGCCGGTGGATCGGAATCGGAATCGAAATCGGTGAACGCAATCGTAATCCGGAGAATCGAGAGAATCGAAATCGCTGAGTCGGGAGCTGAAGCCAAGAGTGGAGCTGAGTTCCGCAGACACTACTGCGCGCCACGATAATAAATATTATAATAAAACGAAATTTTTAAAAGAGTATAAAAATTTCGTGTAATTGGTAATTCTTGCTGCCGGCGCAGGCAGCGACGCCAGCGGAGGCAGAGACCGCAGCGGAGCGGCGACGCAGCGCTTTGAGTCGTTGGAGACTTGAGTTTTTGTCTGTCTGCGGATGGGATTTGGATTTATTTATTCCTCGCTGGTTGTGTTGCTGTTGCCGTTTTTTGGGGAGACTACGCGGCGAAGGCCGAGCGTTGTGGCGTTACGAGCAGCGAAACGTTTATGGCGCAATACAAAAGCCATGCGAGCGTTCTTATGGGCAACTGGATGCTGAGTTTGTGACATTCATTTCGAGCGCACACAGACATGCGGCCAACGCAGCTCTCACTCAACGCCGACTGCGGGCAATAGGAAAGATGGCAGCGTCACACTCATACGCTCGTCTCGCTCCCACTCGTCGCTTTCTCGCTTCGAGCGAGCTGCACGCCGTCTGCTCTCCCGCTCGAGCGCATGATGGCCGCCTCGCTGCTTCCGCTCTTTGAGTGAGTTGCCGGCCGTTGAGTGCGTTTTTAGTGCTCGCTTAATTTTCATGTTTATAACGTGAGAACTCATTCGCAGCTGAGCGCAACTACTTTGAGCCGCCCCGAGTGAGTGGAATGCTTTTTTAAGTGTTTTATGCTTTGTTTGGCAAAATGTTATTGTTGATTAAATTACCCCGCATTATTCATGCTGAGTACGAGTGCGGGCGAGTGAGTCGGTGGCTCCTGAGTGAGTGCTTTCCTATACAAATTAGCCTGAAATTTGTCTCGGTTTTTTTATAGCCCAGAGAAGAAAAAACACTAAAATTACGAAAAATCCATAAATTCGAGAGATGAAAAACGCCGACGCTGCAAAATATTCGCTCTTCCTCTTCCATTTTTCGGCCGCCGCCTTTTGTTCCTCTTTCTCTATTCCTTTATTCTCCTTTCTCCGCTCCTCTCTCCCCGCCTTTTGCGTTTGACGCTGGAATTGCTGTTATGACATTTTTATGAAAAATTTCAAATTTACGACTGAAATTGGACAACAAAAACAGACATTTCCCAACCCCCTCTCTGTGTCCTCTATCGCTCTATCTCTGCTTCTCTCGTTCTGCAAAATAAAGCGAATCTGCAATTTCTTAACTTCTTCACTGTTTCAAGTTTGTTACATCTTGACAGGACTAGGTGGTGGGAGTGGGAGCGAGAGGAGGCGGAAGAAGTTTTGTATAAAAAATATATCCATACATATGTACATATATTTTTCAAAATAAAACAAAAGATTTGTAGATTTAAACCATTTTAATATTATCGATAATTTGTATTATGGAAAAAGAACAATTATTAAAATTAATTTGAAACATAAATTTACATCTGAAATGATAACAAAATCAAGAAAACATATTTACATATATGTTTGTACAGTTTTAAATAATTAAGAAATAAATTAATGAATAGTCTATGGTTATCTATGGATTTTTGTCCAAAATGTTTATTGTTTATTCTTATAGAAACAACAAATATTTTAAAATTTAAAGACATAATTATCGTTTTTATTTTGCTATCAGGAATTATTTGTAAGCGTATTTATTTATTTTTTATAATTTCATTTACCATTTCTTATTCTAAGAGTATTTACTTAGTTTATAAATCACAATATTTGTATTTCTTTTTTATTTAAAGAGTATTATACTCGTATATTTAATTTATTTCCGCTTAATTATGCTCTCTGCACCTCAAATATTTATTTCGATTTAATTATCCTCGTAAGCACCTGTCAGTTTTACGGGCTTCTCGCCTGGCTAATAGTACCTTTTATAATTGACTTTCGCGTAGTTTTATGGCCCTTGCCCAAGTGCGATTGCCGAATCCTGGGCGATAACAATTGAATAATTGATCAATCAGCGGATTGGCTAAACAATCAATTCTTTTTGGCACACTGGCTTGTTAAATTTTGTTGGTTTTATGGCCCAGAGGAGGGGTTTTCGAGGCGGACACGGCGTTAACGGTCGGGCGAGTGCTTTAAAATTAATTGCTCATAAATTCCAAATTAAACATTTTGCCACACTTTGGTTCATGTTTATGGGTCATACGGCGAGTGCGAATGAGTGGCCGCACTGAGTGCACTCAAACTGACTTATGCACTGCGAAAAATATCAAAATATGAATATTCCTCGAAATAAAATTAATGCATTTTTGGCTTAGTTATTACACTTTTTATTATCATGATTATACAAAATTATGGAAAAATTCTTAATGATCGAATTAAATACTGTAAGGGTATACAAACTTCGACGTGCCGAAATAATAAAAACCTTTCTATAAACCATTTAATTAATGTTTTTAGGAAAGAGTTTTCTTTTTAAATAAATAGTTTAAGTAGAGATCTGTACTTATTATTAATTGTAGCTATGTAGTCCTACGCATTTTGTGCATTTTCCTTATGGTTTTTCTCAGAGTGCACTCAGATCTGCAGCCACTCACAGCGGGCTGTGATTTACTGCCCTTGCCGCGGGGTTATGGGCTACGAGATGTACGGTATATACATACATATACGGGATATATATGGTGCGGGCTATAAGACCGTGGCAGGTGGGCCGCCCAACGACCGGAAAAATGTAAAAGGCCCATTTTGATAATCAAAACAAATAATAAAACAACTTCGCACGTTAGTCTGCTCACTGCTGCGGCAACAATAACAAAAAACAAAGAACAGCCCATTAAACGATAATAATCGTAATAAACTAATAAAAATTGAAACTGGGTGAGAGTGGACGAGCACTGAAAACACACCAAAAAGAGTAAATAAATAAAAACAGAGTAATTTTCAGTAATAAAACACTATTTTCAGTTGGAAGTTTCGAGTGGAGTTTCGCTTGGGTCGGGTATTGTGTCACATTTCTGGTGGTTGGGATTGCGTGCGATTGTGATCCTCGGAAGCGTTAAACAAAAGCGGAACGGAACGGAACAAACCATAAAAGAAACAGCTCCGTTGTGCGTATATGCTGTAATCTCCCGTGCGACAGGTTGTATCTAAAATAAAGTAGGCATAAAAAGAAGGTAGACGCGTGCAATGAGAAACACTTGTAAAACAATAAAGGCACAAAAAATATGTACGGAAGTGTGGGGCTAAAATGAAAGGGAATAAGTGTAGAAAGTTATTGGATTTTTATGTTAGAAGACAACATTTTACTATTAACTTAATAGTTTTAAAAGTGGTTGTAAATTGTATTTACGTAGATTTAATTTGTAACATAGTATCCTTACCTTTAAAGCATAAAAGGTCTTTTTTAATTTAATTTTAATTTTCTATATTTCCATTGACAATTTGTTTTATATAAATTACTGAAATACAATTACCATTAAAGGAACCATTTTAGTAGTATACCTTTCACACTTCTAAACTTTATTATAATTTTTTATTAATTTTAAACATTTTATGAAACTAAACATAGATTTAATATAAATATTTTCCAACGCTTGAATACTTTCTTCTTCTGTCAAATTGTTTTTCCATATTTATTTGTTATAAGGTATTCCAAGGTAAATTGCAACTTCTGTCCTAACCTACAAGAACAGATAACTAAAAAATCTATAAAATTAATAAACTTCCAGCTGATTTTGCTTTCATCCGCTGGTTCCCACAGCCCAAGCTGTAGAGCTGGAAACTATTGCCTTTGCGATTTCGAGTGCGGATCGTAAAAGCCGCTAGAAGACAGGCGTAATTGCCCATAAAAAGACTGTAAAATATTTCGGAGTGAGTAATGAGACCGGAATCAATTGTCACTCGCTGCTGTGAATCAATGGCATTGAGTGAGTCTCTCCGGCCTGAGTGAGAAGTGCGGCTCAGAATGGGAATAAAACCCGCTGCACATCAAGTTCATTCCCTAATTTGATACACTTTTATGGCCCCGGAGTTTATGGCTTGTTTGGCGGGCTTGTGCTTGTGGTTTTCCCCGTCTGCCGATCTGACGAATGAGTTTTCCGTCGGACGACGACGACGATTACTAAATGCCTTCTCACGCAATCATTTTTTAATCCCCGATGCGGTCGGGTTTATGGGTCACCCCATCACCCGGCATCCGGAATCTGGGTCTCTGTGTCATATCCCATCCGCACGGAGGCGATCTCGAGTCACCTCCGAATTACTCAATAAAAATTATACGAGTGTCTGTCTTTCCGTGTTTTCCTCTCCGTTTTTACTGCGTTTTAATTGCTCTAATGACACACTGGTTTTTTGTAAAGTGTGTAGGTAATAGATATAAATGTTGGATATAGTCAACAATGCATAAGGTGAATGGAAAAGACCAGAGGTCCTTAAATTGAAGGGTCTAGCTCTAGGCTATAAACTTAAGTCATGCACTTACCGTTAGGGGATATGTGTCAGTATCTGAAAGTAGAAGGATATATAATTATTTTTAGCAATTTTGGTTAATTTAAAATATATTCCTTTCTTAAATTTATACAATTTATGAAATATTTCTATGGTCTTGAAGAATCGACAATGTTTCTGCGCATTTAACGTCAAGCTATACTCTACGTTCTATAATAAATACACGTAAACAGTCCGTCAATACTAAAACTGAAAGGTTATATTTAATAAAAATGGATATAGACCCGACAGAAACCTATGTCGAGAGGATAAAGAGAACGGGAACATGGCTCAACCCCTTCCGGCTTGCTAGATACGTTTTTGAGAAGGGTCAGATACTTGCAAATGAATTTGCAAGAATCGCAACTTCGTGGCAGTGAGTAATTGTTTACTATATATTTTTTAGATAGTAATACATATCATTGTCTATTCCAGATAAGACTATCATCAAGGAACATTACTTGATTAAAAGGGACGCCTGTATAATTTGCTTGTTAATGCTCAATTTAATAATTTCCTGCTGCTCTGCAGCTCAGCTGTCGTGAGTTAAAACCGCTCATTTCTAGTAAATTTTCTTCCTGAAATTTGTGTATTCTGCTTTCTTTTAGTAATTTCTTGGCCATCTAAAATTCAAGGGTGATCAATGTACAGGGACAAGTCTATTCATTATCGACCAGTGTATGCCTGAGGTTGTCACGGTACTGTACTGCAGTGTACTGTACTGTACAGTAACTAAGACTGTTCAAAATTTTAAAGCTTAAAGTTTGAAGACATGAAGCCTTAAAATCTCGATAAATATTTGGCCAGTGTAACCCTTATCCTAAAATATATTATATGTTCTTTTAGTCAACATTTTAATTTCATAATTTAAGCTGAGCAAAAAGAAACTAAATCTTTATTAAAATTAAAATGAAGATTAAAGAAATTAAATGACCGGTCAAAAAACATTAAAAAAATTTTTTTTCTATATTAAAATAATTTTTTTATCGAGCTTAATTTTCATCTCTCTTCCTTTAGTTAGTTCTACCCTAATATTTTTATATATTCTTAATAATTAAGCATATATTTAGTATCCTCTACTAAAATAACAAGAATTAAGTATTCCCCTAATGGTTTCCTTGGCCCTGATTTAGCTGAATGGCAAGGGACAGTGAAAATGTGGAAATTCGGAGATTCGGAGATTCGGAAAAGTGGAAGTGGAATGACGAGCGTGTTTTATAGGCCTCAACAAGACATTAAAATACACGCATACGCCCCGTAGGCACGGGGTGGCCATTACGTTACCTGCGGCGGTGGTTTTTCAGTTTTTCCCCCAGCTGGAAAACCGAGAGAAAAGCGAGCTCCAGAGAGCTGGAGTGAGAGCAAGAGGGAGAGAGAGACAGCGGAGATGGGCGATGATGGGCTCGCTGCGAAAGGAGATTTCAATATCATAAAAAATCGTATTAAGAGAATCTCATATTGGGAATCGTAAAGTTTTTACGACCGTTTAATGGACTCTTGCAGTAAGCGTGAGTATTTACGCGCTGCTTAAAAGCGGTAAAATATGGCCAAGTGGTGTCGTGGGACACTGGCGGGATGCGGATGCGGATGGTGCTGCAGAAAATGCAGAGGCTGATGCAGATGCGGATGGAAAACTTCAATTAGAGACAAAAAGCGAAATGGTCATTCGATTACCGGAAAACTCCAACTCCTTTCTATAACGGCGCCATCTGTCCGCCGCTCGCCGAAGCACTGCGGCCAAGCAGTGCAAGCAGTGTTCATGCGTCCTGACTAAGGTCGTGGACTGAGGAGGGGGTGGGTTCGGGTGCAAGCAGTGCCAGAGAAAGGACCTTTCGTCCTTTCCTTTTCGCAACGAATGAGACAGCCAGAGGAAGGGAGGGACAGCCTACAACGATCGGTATTGCAAATAATAAAGGGCGTGGCCGCCGATTACGTCAGCATTGGTTCAGGCGTAAGCGAATGTCCTTCGAAAGAAATCAGTTTGAAGCGGCAAAAACACGGAAATGGGTGTGGCAAGGGCAAGGCATTATGGTGGTTTGGCTCAGCAGATTCGCAGTCTTACTTCTCAGTTGCACAGTGGATTTAATGAAACGGATCATCGGAAATGTTGGTGTTTAAAATAATTAAAATATTAATCAAAAAGGATAAAGAGGACACAAGAGCAAAAGAAAGTCGAGTGCTTAATAAGTGGCTCAAGTTAAAAATGCTGAAATGTGTTATTAATAAAGGATAAATAATTTATTCCTTGCTAATACTTCACCCATTGTGATCAGTTGTAAACAATATGTAATAATTCTCAAGTAACATTTTTAAGGCAATGTCTGCTCGGAACTAACAACCTTTAGGGCCCGTCCATCATAACATAAAACCACTTTGATGGATGTCTGAGTTGGTTTGATTGATCGGAAATGACCTCAGAGGCGACGATTGGCGAAGGGGAAAACAGCAATCTGTCCTATTGGGTACAACCATTCTATTAATCATTATTTCCCGTATTCAAATGCAGACGATGACGATTCGATGAATCTATAGAGTCCGTCGGTGGAAATCTCTGGGCTCATTGGATGCCATTCGTAGGTGCAGTCACGTAGGGCGTTCCATAGCTCCAAGTTTCCGAACAATTTAGTGGAAGTCTGGTGACAACGACCCGACGACTTCATTAGACGCGGCCATCCATCATTTGGTCGAGAGTTATGTGACTGTTGGAAAGGATTTCCTACGATTTCCACGACTCGGATAAATCAACAGTCCAACCCCTACTATGTGCACAGGGAAAACTTGTTGAAAAACTGAGGTATCTAATCGGGACTTTTCAATTTTTAATCTGAAATTATCTAAATTCCATTAAATTTGAATTAAAATTAACAGTTTTTACTATAATAACACCATTCGTTTTGAAGCTTTTAAAGCTTAATTTCTTCTTAAACCCTCTTAGTTTTCCTCTCAGTGTACCCAGTCGAAATAAATCACAAAGTTCGAGCAGTGCTGGTCGTAAAACGGATTCTGCCGAATGTTTGTTAATTATGGTTTTGCGTAACTCTAGCATTAGTTGGCCGCGGGGTCAGAACGAAACCACTCGTGAGTGATTTGTATTTGGGCTCGTTAAAGTGTCCAGCGGAATGGATGCTGGTGGTGGTAGAGGCAATGGGTTTCCTTCTCAAATGCGGCGGCACGATCGCCGAGCATCTTTTCCCATTCGCAATCCGCAATCCAGCGAAGGCATCTCCAGGAAAAGGCACGTTTTCCAACACAATTTGCAACAATTTAAGATTTTTGCGCCAGCTCCGATGGCCGATAGTCGAATATCCATTATATCCAGAGAGATTGCCCCGTTTCATGGGCTCGTAAAAATCGAGAGGAAAAAAAAGAGAATGGGGAGTGGCGCTTATTGGGGGGAAATTGAGAAGTTTTGAGCCGAAAGCGCCGCATCTGGTTGCGAAATGAGAGCGATTTTCAAACTCCAGCTGGCGTTTGCAGCTGAAACAAGAATATTACGCGTAATCCACGGAATTTCAGTGGGATTTAAGTGTGCAACTTGGGGCTTAATAAGCTAGTTTGGCTCTTAGAGACTCTGCATTTCCGAGAACTCTTAGTCAGGCAGAAATTATGATAGTTCCTAATGATTTTCATATGGGGCAGCCCAATAATGGGTCAATTGAAATACTGCGGATATAGTAAGAATACAAAATTAGAATATAGAAAATACTCAAATAATTTAATAATTTATTCATTAACCCAAGCCTTTACAGACTTGATTATTTATTCAAATTAATATTCACATTAGTTGTGCTTTATAAATTTTATTAAAACACCTTTTAAAGCGACATTATACCAGACAATTAATACAATTAATGTAATGGAAATACCCTAGGCATAACCATTAGTTCAATTCGCTGTGAAGTGCGCCTGAAAACATTCAATAAAACATGCTCCACTTCAAGGGGATTAATTGGGCGCATAAATCGAGTTTAATTCACGTAATGTGAACACTTAATGCTAATTACTCGATTCAATGCGATGTCAGCGGTATTTGCATGTTCCAATGGGGCTTTAATTCGACTTCGAGAGGAAAATACATGCATAAATAGTGCTCGTTCCACTCAGGTGACCTTTGGCCCCCTCGGTCTACTCAAAGAGTCTCCGAAGACCCACCGACAGATTCACACGGGCGCTGTGAAGAGTGGTTTCTGGGGGATTCTTTAGGCTCGGAAACCGGATCAACCACTTCGGCGGTGCAATGGCGGCGGCAAATGGCCGTGATAAGAGCACCAGAGCACACCGCCATCGTTTTGGCCTCAAAGACTCTTGGCATTCATAAATATATTGAAAAGAGTCTTTACCAAGGCGAATCCATGAACATTTCATCCCCTGGCCCTGGTGCGCACATCCTCCTTTCTCTCCCTGCGCATTTCTCCTGGGCTCACTTTCTTTGTCTCATTGAAAAACCAAGAACCAAGCCTGAAACCGAACACAAACGAACCCGTTTGTACACAGGAGAAAATATGTGATTTAAAATATAGAGGTAATATAATAGTCAATATTTAAACAGCATAGAAATTTGAAATTACTTCTTGAATGTTTTACAACATCCATTATCTATAATATTTGGTAGTCTAAATATTTCTGCTTAGTTTCTCTCAGTGTATCCATTGACTTGACTCATCCATGCGGTCATCGCGGAGGTCGAACTCTTGGCAGCCCGAAATGCGTTGTTTTCGTCATTTAGGGCCTTGGGTCATCGTCATCCGATTATCGATTGACCGACTTATGGCCCGGGGGGCAGCCAAGAAATCCGAGAAATTCAATTGGAGTATTGAATTCCGATGTCGAATAAATTATGGGTAGATTAAACATGCCATATTCCCCCCTGGTAGCACAGCGGACACAGCCACTATTTATCCCCTCGGCCAGATAAACCCCATTAAAACACGTCTATGGCTAATAACCCCCTGGGAACCGAGAACCTGGTCCCCTAATTTCCCCGACTCCCTCTCTCTCTCTCTCTGGCGAATTTACGTGACGCTGACACTTGCTATCTGGAGCCATAAACTCGGGAGCCTTATCATCGCCGGCGGTCATTAAAAGGGAGTTTTACTGTAGGACTGACCGCGCGAGAGGCGTCTTTAAAGCCAACGCAGGACAATTATGCACACAGCCGGACATGGCGACTATCCACCCTTTTGGGCACTCAGAGAAAAGTCCAATAATATTTAACAAGGAAAAATTATGTCTTGAAAGGGCACAAAAATATGTTTTTATAAATCTAGAAAAAAATCTTAAAGTTCTTTAGTTTGATATCCTAAAACTAAAAATATAGTATGCTTCCCGAAGTTGGCTTATTCAGAATGTTGATACTTTGGGGCGTATTTTTTGCAAGTGAAGCTTCTTGGGCTTTGGCCAGAGTCCGCCAAGCGGAACAGGAAATTTACGAGTGCCGCGTCTTGGCCATTTCAATGGAGTCTGGCTTCCAGCACAATTATGCAGCGGATTAGCTGGGTGAAAATAAATTGGCCAGTCCCGCGACTTGCGACCAAACATAGTCTGCCACTGGGCAGCCAGGGCACCGACTCCGCCTCACCCAGTGCCATTGCCACCAGAGATTCCACTCCCCCAACAACATTGGGGCAACATCGCGTGCCACACATCGAGAGACGTGATTACGCCCCGCCAGCAGGTTGGCCAATTCACTTGGCCACATTATGCATATGCATGCGGAGAGGGGGACGCATCGCTTAACTCACCTTAACGGCCGTTCAGCATACTTTACAGGTGCTTGGCCAGGCTATTGAGACGTCTCACATAGCCGGGGGGAGTCTTCGTTGCGAGGAGACAAGGCTCAAATTTA